TTTTCGAGCAATGCATGGTTCAAATTGATCAGTTGTTGTCGGTAGCGATGCCCATTGAGTTTCACCCGCTCATTCAGCAGCTCATAGTATACGATTCCTTTCTGGTCCCATCAAACGCAGAGCATTGTCTTCTTTTCGAAGCGATTTGGCCATGGCGTCGATGTTGATGCTTCTCCAGGTGAAAGCCACGATTTTTTGCGTTTGGAATTCTCGAAATATATCCACTTCTCATCGCCAGTAACAATTCGATGCAGAAAACTCTTTCATGCCGCAAAAGCAAAATTTCAAAAGTGGCTCTTCGATTTTCCATCTGTCTCTCAGTCAACTCATGCGGCACCCATTTTCCTTCCTTTTGAATTTTTCCCATGGCAAATGGTAAACGTTTGGAAATACCTTGGCGAGTCATATTTAATGTCTCCGCAAGTTGATCTTGTGTTTGCGTATTATCTTCATCCAATAACGCTTGCAGATCGGCGTCTTCAATTGTTTTTAGTCTTCCGGAGCGCTCCTTGTCTTCAGTGTCGAAATCGCCACTTCTGAAGCATTTAAACCAATCTTCACAGGTAATTTTCGATGATGCATGTTCGCCGTAGGCCTCCTCAAGCAAACGACGTGCTTCAGCTGCACTTTTTTTCAAGTTAAAGCAGAAAAGCAAAGCTTCCCGCAAATGCTGTTTATTTGGCACAAAACTCGACATCTTCGTTGTTAGAAAAAATGTTTTTGCGTTGCGATATGTGTTGGTATTACGACTGGTTATTGTTAACAAATGTCCAAGCTATAAAAAAAACACAACTTCAGATATGTATGTCGACTACATGTGTCGTTAGCGCTATCCATGTGTGAAACCCGGAAATTTAGTTGCGCACCTACACTGAGAAAAAAATATCTGATAATTGGAATGGATATTAGGTTGTTCGGAAAGTTCGTTTCAAATTTTGCGCGCTCCACATTTCTATGTAATCAGTAAGAACGAGGGCGCTCTAAACGATTTTATGTTTGTCAACAAACATTCCTGGATCTATGAGCCCGCTAAGGAAACTTCGCAGATCTTCCTAAATGCAACTATTTCGTCAGAAATCAGTTTGAAAAATGGAGAACCAAAAAGTTCATTTTCGTCATGTGATGCTATATTGTTTTAAACGTGGCTTCACGGCTTCGCAGACCCTGAATGAGATGTTCTCAGTATATGGAGATGCCTGCGTCACTCACCAGACAGTTCGAAAATGGTATCGAAGATTCGAAGCTGGCGATTTCAACATGGAAGATCAAGCTCGCTCAGGCCGGCCTCAGGAGGTTGATGAAACGTTTCTTATAGATCTCATGCACGAAAATCCTCGAGTGACAGTTAGAGAACTCGCCGACACTCTGCACAAGTCTGTTTCCACCGTGCATGACCATCTGAAGAAGCTAGGATTCTCAAGTCGACTGAATGTGTGAGTGCCACACGAAATGAATGAACGGCAGTTGCTGGAACGTGTGAACGTCTGCGATATGCTGCTTCAACGGCACCAAAAAGAACCGTTCTTGAAGAGGATCATAACAGGCGATGAAAGTTGGATCCTATACAATTATGTTAGCCGCAAGAGGTCGTGGGGAACGAGCGACGCGTCTACGCAAACAGTGGCCAAGCCGGGGCTTCACGCGAAAAAGGTTCTTCTGAGTATCTGGTGGGATTTTAAGGGCGTGGTTATATATTATGAGCTTCTTCAACCAAACGAAACCATCAACGCGGCGAAATACAGCCTTCAACTGGACGAACTGAAGACTGCCATCGCACGGAAGCGCCCTGAATTGGCCAACAGGCGTGGAATTGTTTTCCATTATGATAACGCCAGACCTCACGTCGCAATGTCTATCCGTAGGAAGCTGTTAGACTTCGAATGGGACGTTCTTCCTCATCCTTCATATTCTCCCGACCTTGCCCCATCTGACTACTATCTATTTCTTTCTTTAAAAAATTTTCTTCGGGACAAGAAATTCGAGTCTTTGAAAGTCCTCAAAAGTCATTTTGATAAATTCTTCGCCAATAAGAAACCTTTATTTTGGAGCAAAGGCAGCTTCCATCATGCAGCTTCCTGAAAGATGGGCCAAGGTCGTTGAACAAAACGGTACATATTTGCTTCAATAAAGTTCCTCTTTGTGTAAAATATTGCGCTCTTAATTTATTTCAAAAATTTGAAACGAACTTTCCGAACAACCTAATATATACATATGGTAAAAAAAACTATAGTTAGGAATACCACATTTATGTTAAGCATTACCATAATTGTGGTAATAATAATAATACATGCATATTCATCCAATCCATATAACAATTTTACTATAAATAATGGTTAAGTTAAACATAAATATATTTGAGCTATTGGGTGAGTGCAAAAGTTCGTGCGGAGTTTGTGAGTAAAAGTCACACAGTGATTAGGCAAACAAAAATCTTTATTCAATCAATGATATATTCTCCATCGTTTTCTATAATCTTTTCCCAACGTTCTGGCAGCATACGGATGCCTCAATCATAAAAACTGCGCGGTTTAGATTCGAAGAACGAAGAGACGCCGTTTTTTAAGGCCTCCAAAGAGTCAAAGTTTTTTCCATTTAAATAATTTTGCAATGACCGGAACAAGTGATAGTCAGATGGTGCGATATCAGGAGAATACGGTAGATGCGTTAAGACATCCCAATTCAGGCTTTTCAATTTGCGCAGCGTCTTTTTCGAAACGTGTGGTCTGGCGTTGTCGTGATGAAAGACGACTCCCTTGCGATTTGACAAAATCGGACGTTTCTCTTTTATTTCTCGATTCAGATTGGTTAATTGGCGACAGTACTTGTCCGAATCAATCGTTTCGCCAGCGGGGAGAAGCTCGAAATAGATTATGCCCTTGCAATCCCACCAAACAGAGAGCATCACCTTCATCGGGTGCAAACTGGCCTTTGGCATTGCGTCACCATGCTCACCTGATTGTTTCCATGTCCGTTTGCGCTGAACATTGTTGTAGAGGACCCATTTCTCATCGCCCGTCACTAGTCGATCCAAAAACGACTCGTTATTGAGCCGCCCGAGTAAAGAAACGGCTGCAGAAATTCGCTTGATTTTGTTCTTCTCGGTCAGCAAATGGGACACCCATATATCGAGCTTCAAATCGAATCCCATCTTTTTTAAACGCCAAAAAACGGTTGATCGGTCAACGTTTAGTGCTGTAGCAACTTCTTCTGTTGAAATTCGCGGATTATTGAGCACTAAAGTACGCAAAACATCGTCATCAATGTCAGAAGGTCGACCAGAGCGTGGCTCGTCTTCAAGGTTAAATTCTCCGCGCCGAAATTTAGCAAACCATTTTTCCACAGTTCGTTTAGCTGGTGCTTCATCCTGATAAACATCCTGAATGTTTTTTACGGCTGCGGCAACGTTTATTCCCTTCCGAAACTCGTAAAGCATAACATGCCGTAAATGCACCTTATCGATACTCATTTTTAAAGTGATATTTCTCGAAGCAGTTTGTATGAAAACAAATGATTTTTTTTTTAATAACAGCTGAAGACGTCACCTTTCCAACGTTATATAATATGTAGATGGAAGTATTAATGACAACACTTTACGACGCTTATAACTCCATGTATTGAAACTCCGCACGAACTTTTGCACTCACCCAATACATATACCAAATGGTACTATGAATTAACCATTTTATATAGTTAACACAATTATAATTAATCGCAAAAAATGGTAAATATAACTATATTTTTACTAATTGTTTTACTATTCACATAGTAATAATAATAAAAAGAGAATAATTAAACACATTACCATTTTATATAGCAAATGTAACTATATTAATGATTTATTTAACAATATTTAGAACTTCTAATTTACAAAATATTTAGTACTGACTATCAAAAAATTACGTACAACAATAATGCTTTTGCACAATATTACAGAGCGTCCGTAGCACTCATGATGTGGCTATTCGCTTGTGAGTACTATCTATCATATTCTGTGGCATACTACGAGAGTGCCATAACTAATTGAGTGCATCACTAACTGAAGATCGGCCTAACGTGCGTAAAAATCGCGCCTTGCCACAGATCGGGATAATTTTTCTTAAGTAGGAACGCGCATGCGTTTACGACGTTTTAGCCAATCAGAAGTCTTGACGCATGCGCACAGAAATTCTCGCCGGGAAAGAATTGTCCCAGTACTGCGTTGCTATTAGCGATCATACACATGCACATTTCGGACTATAATTGTTTTGGTCGGCAGCTACCGAAAGAAGTGAACAAGTGAACAAGTGAAGATATATGCAGTGAGTTATTGTCAGAAGAAAATCCGTCGTTTACGAACAAGTAAGTAATAACTATTATTATAATATAATATTTATGAACGATAATATATATTTTAATACTTAAAGTATAAAGTTTAGGATTTACGACACCTATACACCGGGACAAAAGGAAATTAGATTATATGCAAGAAGATAGAAAGTATAATTATAACAAAATATTTTCTCTTTTCCTCACATAATTTCCTTTTGTTCCAGTGATATAAGTACCATAAGTCCTAAATTGTATGCTTTAAGTACTAAAATCGTGGACAATACTTAATCTATACAGATCACAGAGACATTTTATATATAAGCTATTTATCTAATTTAGCAAGAAAATCTGTCTGTGACATCCATATAGATTAAGATCAGTCACACTTCTTATTAAAAGTTAGTAACAGAACCTAAATGTTCTCACTGATATTGCTAGAATGTCGATGCTATAAATTTTACGTATCATAATTTTCTAGCAGATACAAAAAATAACAATACGTTTTAGTTGTGACATTTAGAATTCTAGTTGGGTCAACAAAATATTTCTCTGAGCATTGATTGAAGATTTAAATATTTTTCTCAAATAACTCTTAGTACAACCATTAACTATTTACTTGTTTTGTTGAAATTAACATTTATTGAATCATAGTTCAAATTAAAATTATTTTTATGTATTTCATATTTATTCAGGTTGAAACTTAATGTTACATCTTTAACACTACTGATAATGTCAATTTTTATTGAAGAAACTTTACAGGAATGGGGTCTTGAGGAATACATTGAAAAATTTAAAGGTTACAATCTTATTTTTATAATAATTTACCTACAAAATGTAAATATAATAATATTGTACTTTTATTTGTCTTTAGAAGAACAGATTGACACGAATGCATCCCTGTATATGTCTGATTCGATGGTTAAAGAATTAATTCCCATAATCGGAAAACGTTTCTGTTTTCTTGAAAATCGGAAGAAATTACTGGAAATTAGAAACAATAAATCCATTACTGACAATTCAGATTCGGTAGGATAACTTCTACTTCTTTTCTAATTCTATGATTGTATTTGTGTTAGAATTAACAAATCTTTTTTCTTTTAACCAACATATAGGCTTGTATTTATAGTCATTTCTTATCTTTAATCACAGTCAAATGTTATATTTAAAATCGTTCTAAGTTCATCTTAAAATGCTTTATTAATAATTTCATTAGCTATGTACAGCTTTGAAAGATGAAATTATTATAAAATGGTTTTAAATATAAGATCTGACTATGAATATCAGTTTAAGAAATTAGTGATAAAATGTGTTAGATATAGGAATATATTTTTAAAAACTCCATTTAAAAACAATTACAATTCTTAATTTTACTAAAGTTATTCGTATTTTTATTCTTCAATATTATATAAGTAGAGTACATTCTTATAATGGACTTTTTTTTCTAATATTGCATTGCATTATAATAGATTTTATTCTTATTATTTATTCAAATTATTGTCAACTTTAATGAATATTATTGCTTAGGACATTTCGATCATAAAGGAATCTCAGGATTACATTAGTGTAGCTAGTACTTTGTCAACAGATACATGTCCTAATCATAAAAAAGTATATCTTCAATACAAATCTTATAATTGCATTAAATATCACATTTTTTAAATATATTGAATTGCATTAAAATTGATTTCACTTTTGTTATATTAATCTTATTATTTATCCTAATTATTGTAAATTTTACTTATGAATATTATTGCTTTAGGATATTTTGAATAGAAACGAATCTGAGGATCATGATATAGTGAGTGCTTCTTCGACAAATGCATGTCCTAATCGTGGAAAGGTATGTATTTCCCATACAGATTTTAAAATATTCTTTTAAATTGTATTAAAATGTTTTGGCTACACAGGTTTATGTAGAAATTTAAACTATTAAGTTTTTATACCTCTCGTTTAATATTTTTAAGTCATAATTTTCGTTTATAAAACGATAAAAGTTCAACTAGCATTTGTTGAAATATTTGCTCATTTTTGTAAAATATAAAATTATTAATTATATATAAACGAAAGCAATTTTACTATTTTTGTATTTTCATTAAATATTTTTGAGATTTGAAAAATTTTTTTAGATTCTACAACAATTACTTCCTGAATCATATACTGGTAAAAAAATACTGTGTCAAACTACGATTGACTCCATCAGATCGCGGTAAAATATGTAACATAGTTATTGAAAAGCTTCTTACCACATCTATGAAGTATGTAGTACATCTTTTAAAATATTATATCTTTTTATATTAATTTATTTCGTATTTATTTATTTCATTCTATTCTAATATTGTAGAATAAAAAATGAAGAATTTGAACATTGGGCTAAAGAAATAGTCAGCCTCTTTAAATATGAAAAAACATCTACGTATTATGTTCCAAGTAATAAAAAATTGCAACGTCTTGCTACCGGTAAACTCTGGGACAAATACAATAATCTTAAAAACCTTGTTAAAAAACACGAAGAAGTTTGTGAAAAAAAGAAAGTTAATTTGACTCCTGATTTTCAAGAGATATTGATTAAATTGCGTGCTATTGAACCAGATGACACAGATCTTTCAAATCTTTGGAGAAAAACATTCTCAGCAAGAGACAGAACAAGTTCCATTGTTAATTACTACGAAGAATATCCAATTTTAAAAACATCGATTGGTAGTACATTGGTAATCATAGATATTATTTAATGTCGTATATAATTCAGACAATAAATATTTTGTAATGCAATGTAAATTGTTACAGCTACAAATCGATTTCGAGATAGAAACAGATAGGCTCATATTTCAAACAAAGTGGCCTGCAATTGCTCCATATATATTACTTCTCGCTGAAAAGACAGAAGCATGCCCGTCGTTATGTGAACTATGAAATGGTACATGTATAGAGGTTTATATACAGGGTGTCCGGTAACTTATCAAACAGCCGCAATGTACAGATTGAACAGATCAAAATCATCAGAAGTTGTATACCATTTTGTGCCGTATAGTTATATGTTGCCGTGTATTATATATGTTGCTTGTTACTCCACTTCGAAATCAGCTGTTACTCATATAAGAAGTTAGCATTACTAAGAAGTAAGCAATTCTTTTTACACACGGAGCCCGTCTTACAGCTTCCCTTGCGCTCATTCGCTTACACATTTTAATTTAATTAAAAAAAAAACATATTTTAATTAATTACGGAGTAAATATAGAGAAAATTACAAAATAATATATAACTTTTCTGATTATTTTGATCCGTTCTATCTGTACACCGTGGCTGCTTGACGAGTTACCGAACACCCTATATTAATTCATATACATACATATAAATATATGTATGTATGTATGTATATACATACAGGGTGTTTGAAAGCTTATCATGCAGACGAAAGTTGGAGATAGATTGGGTGTAGCCGAGAAGAAAAGTCATGTACCATAATGTCAAATTGGTAATAGTTACCGAATTATTAATTAAAACATGTGAGCCAACGAGCGCGTAGAGAGCGGAGGGCGACCGCAGAAAGCACATACACATTTGATACAGGCGGAGTCAACGAATGGCGGTAGGCGAACGCGCGCGGCGAAGGGCAACGTAAGCGACACGAGGCGAGCGCACGCGATGAGGAGCGAGCGAGCTATAAGGAGAAAGCTATAAAGAAAAAGCTCGCTCGCTCCTCGTCGTTCGCGCTCACTCGCTCCTCGTCGCACTCGCTCGCCTCTTGTCGCTTACGTTGCCCCTCGCCGCGCGCGCTTGCCTACCACCACTCGCTGACTCCACCTGTATCAAATGTCTACGTGCTTACTGCGGCCGCTCTCCGCTCTCTATGCGCTCGTTGGCTCACATGTTTTAATTAATAACTCGGTAACTATTGCCAATTTGACATTATGGTACATGACTTTTCTTCTCGGCTACACCCAATCTATCTCCAACTTTCGTCTGCATGATAAGCTTTCAAACACCCTGTATATATATACAGGGTGGGTGATTATAAGTTGCCAACCCGAAGTGTGAAGGTAGATTGGGTTAAGACAAACATAAAAGTCCCATACCGTTTTGTGAGATTCGCAATAATTATCGAATTATTAATAACAGAAATCTGAGGAGTGCGGCGCCGCACGCCGCCAACAGTTGCTTGGTCGAGTGGGCCGCGCTGTGGCCTGAGTAGCTGCAACGCTTCTCCAGTCATCTATGTCGGCGCGCTCCCATTCCTCAGATTTCTGTCATTAATAACTCGATAATTATTGCGAATCTCGCAAAACGGTATGGGACTTTTATGTTTATCTTAACCCAATCTACTTTCACATTTCGGATTGGCAACTTATAATTAACCACCCTGTATATATACATACATTACAGGTTGCTAAATTCAAACGTAACAGGTAAAAAATCTCGAAAACTATGAAAGATATTAAGAAAAGCTAAAACACGTGTTCCATGATTTCGAAAGGGAAAGAGAATGGCATTATCAGTTTTTTATTTGGAGGGCATTTTCAAGTTCAACTTAATTTTTTAAAATAGAAAGCCCAATTTTTTATTATATCTTCTTTTTCTACCAATTAATTTTAATAACTTTTATCTGAAGCATTTTTTTATTGCCTAATATTGTTTGAAATATTTAAGAAAATCTTGATAACTTTTTAACATTTAACTTACGATATCTCACTATTCGGCGAAAGAAAAAATAGTATTAGACTTTTTTACTTTATTTACTATCAAGAATATATTACTATAATAGTGCCCTAACTTTTGTTAATTTAATAATTTTGAAATTTCCAAAGGTCGATAAGTTAACAAAAGTTAGGGCACTATTATAGTAATATATTCTTAATAGTAAATAAAGTGAATAAAAATGTCTAATACTATTTTTTCTTTCGACGAATAGTTAGCGAGATATCGTAAGTTAAATGTTGAAAAAGTTACTAAGTTTTCTTTAAATATTTCAAAAAATATTAGGCAAATAAAAAAATGTTTCAGACAAAAGTTGTTAAAATTTATTGGTAGAAAAGAAGATATAATAAAAAATTGGGCTTTCTATTTTAAAAAATTAAGTTGACCTTCAACTGACCTTGAAAATGCTCTCCAAATAAAAAACTGATAATGCCATTCTCTTTCCCTTTCGAAATCATGGAACACGTGTTTCAGCTATTTTTAATATCTTTCATAGTTTTCGAGATTTTGTTACATTTGAAATTTGGCACTCCGTATATGTGTATGTGTGTATATGTGTATCATATATTTTTTACTGTGAACCAATTCTACCTTTATATTGAAAAAGAGAGAGAGGGAGAGAAAAAGTGAGTAGAGGAAAAAGCGGGAGAGATAATTAACATAATTTATGTATTAATTCCAGATATACATATTGAGACATTAAGCCTTCTCATATTACCATATTTATTTAAACCATGTAACGTAAAAACGTGCAACAAAAAAAAATGGAAACCTTCCAAAGCCGAAATTGCTGAAAGCTTTATTTTTCGAGTTCCTGTAAGTAACTTTTAACATGTTCTTGGAAAATCATCATCTTACTGACGATCAAATTATTAACTTATTATTTACGAAACGTATTTATAATGCTATTATTCTATTATTTAAGAGTATTGTTTAATTTTTTTATTTCAGAACATAGCAGACTTAGAACCAAAGTTGAAAGAACGAAAAGAAAAACTTAAATCTTTTGGATTAACGCTTCAACCAATGGTAATTGCAGTAGGATCGGTCGTAAACCTGACGTCTTTTTATGTTCTTATAAATGATGTGAAATACGTCAACAAGCTTGATAAATGCATTAAACTTATGTTTCCAAGTTTTCTTTGCATTAAATGCAAAGTATCCTGTAGACTCAGAAATTGTATGGCATTTCTTACAAAAATACGTATACGGTATAAAGAAAAATACGACCGTTCTTATGTTTCTGTCGATGTCACTTGGTATGACCTGCAAGAACTCATGTCTGCGTAGAAGTAACTAAAATAATTTATATTATCATCGACTATATATTAAAAATAAATTGGTAAAGGTATACATCCGTAACAATGATTAAATGCAAATTTTGTTCTAATACTTACTCTAAACACTATCTAAAACTACATATGCAATTTGAA